GCAAGGTTAAATTTAAATCGATATAAACTTTATGCACTGAGGTCTTGTTCGTTTCTGCATTGTCACCACAATTTTAGTACGTGATAGATTCAATTTGATAAGATGAACATGACATTATCGTCAATAATGTACATACTAAAGTAAATGAATAAGAAAGATTTATAAACTCATAATGAAATACAAAAATGAGGAAAAATAAGTGATTCTGTATATAAATACAAATTTATTAATCTTTTATAACAATAAGTTATTAATATAAGGTTATTAATTAATAAGGAAATCTATAACAGTAATTTATTATTACCAATTAAGCTCAATTTATGTAATTGCATGAATGTTTGCGAGCTGCTTATCTTACATAACAAATGTCGAAATTGTTATTCTTTAATAAGTATTGTAATGAAAAATAAATATGTATATATTATTTTATCTAAATATGTGACTTTATTTATATAAAAAGTTGAATTTTACATGAGCCAAAAAAGTATTTATGTACAAAAAACAAATTTGTAAATGAATTTAAAAAAAAAAAGAAGTTTTATTTATTTCAAAAGAATAAGAAATAAATAAGTAAAAAATAAATGAAAAGTAATAATAAAATAAATAACAGTAAGAAAACAGAATAAACAGAATAAAAAACCGATTTTAAATATTAAAATATTTTTTTAATTTAAATCAATGTACAGTACTATTTTACATTATAAAGTTTTAATCCTACATTATAAAATTTAAAGTTCAAACGTTAATAAAGCTTTTTTAATATAGGATAATATATAAAATAATAAGATAGTAAGAAAATAAAACGACAAAAAGATTAAATAAAAATACCAATACTGAATTAATTTGTGACTAGGCTTGATGTTTCATCTAATGGGCTTCATCTGTCATAATTCCAGATAACATTTATGTTGCATAAGATATCTAAAAGTCTTTTAGATCTTACATCTAAAAGATATCTAAAAGGTGCCTAGATAGATTTAGATATCTTATGCAAATGCATGTTATCTGGGATGTCATGGATGAAGCCCATTGGATAAAACATCAGGTTAAGCTTAACCACAAGTTAACCAGATAATGAAAAACCGGGCCAGAGAGAAATAAACCAATTACTTATTCAAACAAGATGAACTATCATGACATTTTGAATTACATTGCTTTTCTTCTTAACGCCTGCAGCTACACTTATTAGACGAGCATTTTCCCTTACAATTACACCTCTTAAATCCTTGAACTTCAAATAGAGAAGATTTCCTCGCATTTTCGTACTATAATTGGAATCTCATCGGAATTAATAAACGATTCTCTACATATAAAAAATTCATATATAGAATTTTTATAACACACTTTATTCTATTCTAGTTCATAAGAATAATTACTTTTAGATAATATCACCGCTAGCAGATTGTTTTTTATCATTTCCTATCAACATCGGGTATACGTAATCTGACTGTTTCGCCGACGTTTAGACAACTTTGCAGAATCTTTTTCATTTTCTCACTTGAATTTGTAAATTAAATTTCGCCTTTTTTTGAGTATCAAGAACTTTAGCTCTATTTTCTACAATTTTTCTACTTCTAAATAATCGTTAGTTTCTTTATCTTTTCTTCCATTTTTATTTTTATCTTCTTCGTTCTGTTCGTTATCTTCTGTTTCACTGTTGTAATTTTCTTCACCTTATGTTTTATTTTCATCTTCTTCATCCTGTGTGTGTTCATTGTCAATATCTTCTGTATCACTGTTATAGTTTACTTGGCCTTGCGCTTTATTTTTATCTTTTTCATCTTTACTATCTTCAAATACATTTAAACGTAATTTTTCTTCTAAATCTTCTTCAGATTTTATAGACTGTATGATTTCTCCGAGCAAAACTCCGAGCAAAACTTTTAAGTCCTGGTTAGCCGAATATAACTTCATACGAAACAACATTTTATGCCTTCGTGGTAGGCTCTATTTTTAAATTGTACAAGACGCAAACCGTCATTCCATTGTTTTATGTGTTTGAAGCCAAGTGCTGAAGATGTTTTCGACATCTTGGTTGATACATTTAATAGACCTTCACTTTGACTATAACGCAGATTTTCATAGACAATTTTTAATTTAGACCATATGGAATGAACTTCTTCAATAATTCAATTATCGAAGTGAAGAGTAAAACGCTGACAGATTTTTAGCCAACCGAAACGCAGAAAAAATGGGGAAATGTGATTGTATTTGTGGACGTTATATGAAAAGCGGAGATGCATTCTGTATACGCTGAGACAACACCGATGTAGACTATATCAGCGTAGTTGAATAAAGAGATTATAAACAGTTTGGAGATAAAGTGGAGAGTAAAAGTTTAAATACAATTATCAAAAAATTAATAGTTTATGGAATATTTAATATTGTATGTTAAAATGGGACCAGAATAAAATATAAAATATCTCTCGCGAGTTATTGATTTTTTAATATCTCCACTTTAATTCTTTTATATGAAGAATAATTAGAGAAATTATATTACGTAAATAAAACTATATAATTGCATTTATATAATTATATAATTGCATTCAAAAATAAATGTCACGTTAAAATTTTGGTACGTCCACTTAGAAAGTACCTGTGACTATCAAAAAATATCCCCCTCGAAAAAAAATTAATTTCACTTGAAATTCATCATTTTTTAAAATAATGAATAGTTTGAGAGATAATCGAAGTGTCAAATGAAACATATATTAGGTGTTGGAATTAATTCGTAGCGTTTTACAAGTAATGGGAAGTACTTTCATTAATGTATTTTTTAATGCTCATGTGAAATAAATAACATTCTTTCATTAAAAACGCTACGAATTAATTCCAACACCTAATAATAAAAATGTAATTATCCTGTAATAAAAATTATATACTATAATCACAATCTAGTCGTTATGTAAGCCTAAAATAAGAAAAATAATTTAAGACTGCACCCATACTTTCGTATTAAAAAATCTAATTAAAAAAAATGTTTCTAGTTACATATGTATCTGGCTTTCTAATTAATACGCGTAATAATTGTGTATACATATACAGAATGTCCCAAAATTAATGATAAATATTTTATAAACATATTCTTTATAACATTTTAAGATAAAAAGTCTAATACAAAAATATTAAGCTATGATAGTTTTTAACACTTTGTGTGCCAAAGATATTTTGAATATATTTCCTACAAGGCTTCAATAAAATACTATTCCTATTTGAATAAATAAGTTCGTCTCTTAAAAATGGGAGACAGATCCCTGCGGAAAGTTGGGCATCTCTCGGAATTGAGAGACGTGATACTCAAAATGTTAAATGGGAAGAGTTTAAATATTACGAATGACAGGGCTAGAATTTCGCATTCTTAAGGAGGGCAAGATGGTCAGTGTTAAAGTATTTCTCGAATTTCACTGACTTTAATAATAACAAAATTCAACACCTTCACACTGACCTGTTTACTATTCCTGAGCGCGCATTTCTGAGTGAGAAATTCTAGACCTGTCATTCATAATTTTTAAGCTCTTCCAATTTGAAAACTATCATAGCCTTGATATTTTCGTATTAGACTTTTCGTCGAAAAGAATCTATCTTTAAATATTTATTCATCAGTTTTGGGATATCCTGTAGTATAATTGTAATATTAAAACATTTTATAGAAATTAGTTAAATAAAGTGTTTAATTTACAAATCGCAAATCCCCTTTTTTTAAATCAAAATATGGTGCTATCCAGCAGCACTGGAATTGAATGAAAATGGAGCGTCATTGAACAATATGCGGCATCGTCGCAAGTTACTACAACTACAAAGATGCTCACAATGTAGTAACGTATTGTCAGCGATATGTGATGCACAATATAATATTTCATTATGTCGACATCAGGGATAAAGCCTACGGATGATAAAGCGATAGTGGCATTTTTCAAGCCAACACAATTGATCAGAAATTCGATGCGGACCATATGAATATGTCAAAATCAATAATAGTTGAAGAAAAGCGAATATTATCGTATTGCCTTGTTGGAACTTTCCTTCTCAAGTCATGCCTGCATCGTCCTTACCCAGGCAAGAATGGACTTACACCAAGTTATGTATAATCATCACTTGAATCATGCCCGGAGGATGATTGAAAATACTTTCAATACTTTAGCAAGTCTGTGGGAAACACATCAAAAACCGATAATTGCTAATCCAGAAAACGTGATGTTAATGATTCAAAAGCAACAGTTTGCTTACACAATTAGCTGCGAAAAAGCGATGCAAACAATGTTGCATATTTACACGTAGGTTTAGTTCAAACAGGTTCAGGCGTGGCTCTTGGCGAAGAATAATAGAAGATAAATGTACACTTACAGATGTAAACACGAGTACTCGCAGGTGCATGGCAATTGGGGATGAATTTTATGATTATTTTAACAACGAAGGAACAGTATCGTGGAAGATCATTTAAGATAGTGATTTAATTATATGAAATAATACGATATAAATCGATGATCAAAATTAATTTGTGACGATTATTGTCAGTCAAATTTTAGTCAAATGATTGTGTTGCAAGGCCGATAGTATACCGCGCACAATCTGTCCGAGAAAAATAAATGTAATTGGAATTTTATATATAATTACATTATGCCAACATTTTTATTGGAATAATAATAATTATTATATATAAAGCCTTAACTGTATTTAGCATATAGTTATGAATATAATATAAATAATTCATAATAAATATAAATAATCCCTGTGTACCTAAAATAAATATTATTGTTCACAGATTAATTTGCTAGATTAGTTCAGAATCTTAAATCCAGCTTCACGCTGAAAGGTTTTCTGCATATAGGAAAAAACTGGAGTCACTTATTACAGAATTACAAATTACATTATACAAAATATAAAAATTTATTTTTTAAATTTATACAAAATTACTGGTTATAAAAATATTTAATTACTAACATTTAATTACTTATTATATAAATATTATTTATTAATTACATATAAAAATAATTAATTTTACTATTAAATTACTTATTTAAAGTTATTTATTTATGCTTGCGTTCATTCACGTTTAGACTTCGTCGAAAAGACTTTCAAAAACAGACAGCGCATGATCTCGTTTCATGCATCTTCGTCCTTGATTCCTCGGTTGTTCTTCATAAGTCTCATGAAGTGTGTAACAGAATCTTCGAGCGCGAATTCCAGTACGGTAAAGGATTTCGTTACTTCCACATTTACGTAATCAGGCTAGTTGAAAATGAGTGATTTCACCAAAACTTCCACCAATGAAATCCTGTAGCTCACTATCATTATCAAATCCCTGTCGTTTCCCGGTCGTAGAACTGTTTCCTGCAAAAATTAAAGTATATAATTATTTTTTCGTTTATGCTTCATTATTACCATTGAAATATCTATAAGGTATACTTGATAAGTTACTGGCATATCTATCGTTTGAACTGTTCGGTGTTCAGTTTGTAATTTTCATCATTCACTGCCTCTCTAATATCATCCATTGCCAGAGCTTCAGCGTCCAATGCGTTCGTTATTGTTCTGTAACAAAAAATATCACACAGTAGATAATATTGCAGTAATATTGCCGAAATATCGCACAAATATAAATTTTCATGGACATTTAATATTGCATCAATATTTATTTAACATTATTTATATATATTGAATATTATTATCATATTGTGAAATTATTGAAATATTGCATGCTGTGTGTTACGTACAAATCTTGTAGTTGAAGACCTAAAAGAAATTGCTCTCGTAATAGCCCAGGAACTATGTGGTGAGGTCGTAGATTTATTCGACAACTTTTTCTTTCTACAATAAACCCTAAGTCTTAGACAGATTTCCACTTCTTGAGTTCTTTGACTAACATTACTCCAATAGAAAAAAACATATAATTAATATTTAATTAAAATATGTAATTAATGTCAAAGAATAATATGTTATAATGTAAAAGAAATTAGTACTACTAAGTTTTATAAAAACTTCTTGCTATAGTATCTTTTTCCAACGAATTCCGCGCTCTGCGAGTAGAAGTTTGAAATTCTACAAAGACGTACATATAAGATAAGCTGCTCCTCCAGACGAATTTTCTTATTCGTCCAGGGAGCGCTACTTTAAGCACCTTCACTGTCAGCTGCAATTGTCGGCCACCGCCTGCGGCCTCGTTGACTAAATTCTGCGTAGAAAGTTACCGTCATCTGTAAATATAAATAAGGACAACAATATTAAATAAAGTTTTAATTTTCACTCAATTCCGTACTTTTTATTATTCAGTACTTACCATCTTTTGCATAAAAATGTAAATTTGATGACTTAATGGTAATATTGTACACATTCATGAGTCTAGATTTTCGCACAAATGGTCTTGCAGATCTCGCAAGCATGGCCATAGCTGAAATTATAATAATCATAAGAAAATATTAAAACAAAATGAAATAAAAAATAATCGAAAACAAATATAAAATAAATGTGGTAAAGAGTCTGTTTACTTTTTCTTCTAACATTTAAAGACCTAATAAAGGTCGAAAAGTTAATTTATTATCTGACAAGACTGTTTTTAATAGTAGCACGAATACCTATATAGTTTCGGCTCGTAGCTCCTTTTTTTTACTACTTTAGTTGATTCTAATTAAGCCCTCTTGTATCAATAAATTAATTTTATTTAAAATGATTAAAATTTTTTTATGTTTACTAACCTCGCTTTCTTTCTCCATCATTCTGCATTTTGAAGTCCTTGTTGGTCGCTCACGTATTCAATGTATATTACATATCCCATAGTTCAATAAATCGAACTATCGGAGATCATATCCGGATATAGCGAGGGGTAAACCGTTGAGGGCATTGCGGTGTACAGATTTGGGGCATTACTGCAGGGCATTACTTAAGAAAATTGTGCATTATAATAAACTAAGTACGAAATTATGCATTACTAGAACATTAATGGACATTACCAAGGCAGTAATAGGTATTACTAGGGCATTAATGAGCATCATTAGGACATTAGTGGGCATAAAAATTGGGCATTACTTGGGCATTACTGGGCATTAATAGGCATTAATGCACACAATTTTGATCAGCGGTTTACCCTTCGCGTAACACTTATTCCAAGATAGAAATATTAATCTATTCCGCTCTTCTTTTGGAAAGTTTAAAAGTACTAAGTACCATTGCATTTTTTAATTTAATAACCATTAGTTATGAACAATACGACAAAGAATTTAATAACCGTTAATTAGGGACAATATAATAAAAGAATATTTAAAAAAATTTTATTGCAAACATACCGAAGATGACCCGATAGAGTCGAAACACTTATGTGTACAAAAATTATATATACATATATACGTCATAATGAACATTACAAACAGTTTATCAATAACGATTGTTTTTTACATTAAGACTATGTAGGTTTTCATGCTCTTCATACAAAGGAATTGATTTATACATAAGTTTGCATTTTATGTTTTATTACTCATTTTAAAATACAAAAAATTTTTAATAAGAAATAATTTCATAGGGCCTATAAACAGTGTATATATAGACGCGAAGATATATATATATAGACTCTTCGCCGAAGTTGTGAGCTGATGGCAGTTATAGTGTCTTTTGCATCCGTTTGAAAAATACAAAATAATTTCTTGTTATTTATGAAATTACTTTGTCGATAAACAAATAAAATAAGAAAAAGATTAAAAAATGAGAAAATGGCAGCATTAAAAAAAATTACAATTTTTATCAAAAAATTTCTTTTTATTTATTTAATAAAAAAATTTTTCAAATTAATTATTTTATTAATCTTATAAGATCCTCAATGAAAATATTTGATAAACTTCGTGTGTTACATCGATATAACTTGATCGATCGAATAGTTTGTGAATAATTTTTTCCAACAATTTCAATAAGTAAAGTATTTATATATTTAAGTTCTAAAAGTATACACTAGTTTAGCTACAGAAAACAGATTTATAGACGGAATCGAATGAAAAGTCTTGCAAGAAATGGATTGAGAGAAGAGAGAGGAGGGGAGAGAGGGGGAGGGAGGGAGGGAGGGAGGGAGAGGGAGAGAGAGAGAGAGAGAGAGAGAGAGAGAGAGAGAAAGAGAAGAGAGAAGAGAGAGAAGGTTCCTTAAAACTTCGTATTTTTTTCTGTAACTTCGGAAATATATTTTTTACATGTGCTACTATTGATTAAAGCTAGAGTCGGATTAGCACTTGAGACTAACCTATGTCTAAGAACGGCAAGATTAGAGAAGCGGTATTTCTTTGACAAGAATTTCTAAAAAGTAGCTATTTTTGCCAAACGCGAATAATTGAAAAAAATTGTCTATCGATCGACAATCACTATAGATTCGAGTCGAGGTGCTTCGCAATCTTTGTATCGATTTTGTTCTACCAAAGAGAAATGTGAGAGGGGGCATGCTGGCTTTTTCGTGCAATCATCGATATATACATAGAATGGAATAAGTAGGTTTGCGGCAAATGTGTTTGCTATTAAAAAATCGCATAAAATTCTAATAATATAAAAATAATATAATAATATAATAATATAAAAATATTCATAAAATTGTAATAAATGAAGTATACATAATTTTGTAATTTCTAAATATATCATAAAAACGTTGTTGTAACAAAGCTAAATTAGGATAATCCTTATCTTTAGGAAAATCCTTTTCTTTTTATTGTCGCAAACATAGGCTTGGAACATTCCAAAAAACATTCTAGAGGGTTGAATCGGGGTAAGGCAATAATTTAAATGCCTAGGGGCGATGAAGAAATCTTGATCCAGCCCTGATTAAAACAAAAATAAATAAAAAAATTTATTTTTGCTTTAATCGGAGCCGGATAAGCTCCTTTCTCCCACTTAATATTGATTTCCTTCGTCTCCTTTTTCACATTTTCCCATCTTTTATTCTTTTCCTTTGTTTAACATTTTTCCTTTGACCGTTTGAAAAGACAAACATCTTATTTTTATATTTCATTGTACTATTTCAGTTAACGAATGCGTATCTCAAGTTTTATATGTAAGTCCTTTTTTAAATAATTTTTTGGTTATTAACAAATAGTTTCAGGTTAATTTTATAATTAATTCTGTTAATTTTCTTTGTGCTTTATTAATACAATTATTATTATTTGAATGTGAATTTTTATCGTTTAATTTGGTTTATATAACATGAGTCTTATTTCAATGGTACTAGTAGTTACTTTTACACCATTGTTGAGACGAAGAAACATTGCATATAAAAATACTTGCCGTGTAATTATATTCTGAATTGATAAGAACAATTACAATTGAAATAGGATTCGATTTATATTAAGTAAGGATCGATATGCGTAAAGGACTCGTTTTACCTTAAAAAGATGTATATGTTTTTTATTATTATTAAATGCATTTTTGTATTGTGTAATTATTAATTTACGAGATTTAATGTGATTATAAGAGTCGAATTTGACGTTGAAAACTTTATGGATAAATATATACTGAAGATGATCGATGTTTAAGAATGTATGTTTTTATTATTTGCTGTTATTTCAATTTTGTACTATAAAATATCAGTAAATTATATATATATATATATACATATATATATATGAAAATTAAATTTTAACAAATTAATGATTCTTTAGCTTAACACGCTACAAAGCTTGCAGCACTTCAAGTTTAAATATGAATTGTTATTCATTAGAGACTTGGATATTAATTATTAATTTCAAACCGTAAATTTTTTAATATCGTTTACACGAAACTCCTTTAAGTTCCTCCTTTAAAAAATTCTAAAATAATCCCAGAGAGCTTCCATATTTTAAAAAATTGTATTGTGATGTTACAGCAGTATGAATTAGTATTGAGCGAGTGGCGGACATCCTGCCGCCTGCGCATGTATTGTTCAATATAATATATAATTAATAGTGCCATGATATTACCATAATATTTCCATTTGTTTCAAAGCTTTCGTGCAATGACGTTATTGTTGCTGAGATTGTCACGGAAAAACGACGTTCCACGAAATAAATTATTCTCTTTGCACGCAGCGTTTGATAAATATGATCGTGATCAGCTATCAAACAAGTAAACGGCGCACAGTTTGAAAAATTAAAAAATGTATTTTAATAATAGTAATATTATAAGATATTAAAATCTAATCTTGACCATATTTGATGCTTCTTTTGATTTATTCATAAGGCAATCTAATTCAATTTATTATTGATGTTGTAAATATTATTAATTCCTTTATTTTTTAAAGATAGTTTTTTCAACATTTAAAAAAAGACTTTCATTTAATAAATTTTTTAATGTATTAATAATTTTTACCATAATTTATTAATAATTCTTACATTACAATTTCTTATTACTATTAAAAATGTTTTATTTAAAAAGTTTTAATTAATATTAGTTGAGTTTTGTTAAATGTTCATCAATATAATCTACAATTTCGCTATAAGAATAATACAAAGTAATTGATAATTAAATGCATTATCAACAATTAATAATTAATTACATAATTAAATGTTATCATATATTTTTTATAAATATAAATATTTTCTTTTTTCATGCAGACTTTTTTAACTTATATCAAGCTCTATCTATTTTTGTTTAGACACTTTTACGGGTTTTGTGCTTCTGTTATTGAGAAGTAGCATTAATATAATCTGTTAACAATATTTTATTAAAATAATTTTAATTTAGATTGTTCATCTCTCGATGATATTCAAGTTCGAATAAAACCGTACTGTTTGAATAAAAACGTTTTATACAAGTTACTAATATGTAGCAATACTACCATATTGAGCAAATACGAATCATTAAAAAATTTACAGACGATCTCATTCCAATAAAATTGTATTAAATACTTCCAACACATTAGTACATTCTTTGATATTACAACGTAAATGGATTATTAATTGATTTCTTCTTTCTATATAACTGTCTCTTACATAACCATCAATTAATAATATCTAATGCAATATACTTTGTATATATTAGTCAAATCCTCTCATTACACACAATGTTGATACAGTTTACATTTATGTTTAATTATGTATATTTTTAAAATACTCTCTTTAAAACCAAATTAATTACGTTTCTTTTCTTTACCTTCTTTTTTAAACGGATAAAAATCTCATTTTAGATATTACTGTTTTAACTATTTACATACCTTTCATAATTTTGAAGAATTAGAAGTTTATGTCGAAACAAACTCCAACGAGATGCATGATAATAAAAATGAGTATAGTTCTATAATAGATAACTAGATAATAGAAACTTCAAAATAAAAGTATATATCATAAATTTTTCTAATGATAAATATTGGAAACTTGGACTCAATAAAAGATCGAAATAATAGAAGTTGTATAAAATATAAATATTATATATTTTAATTCTCTTCATCTTCAGACATTTTCCTTAATAACGCTTGATGTTATGTATATTAGTCTCTTATTTTCTTTTTCTATCAATTTGTAGACTACAACTCAATTACACTTGACTCAATGATTTAATAAATTAAGAAATAAATCACTCTTGACGTTTACAAAGTATGATTATAATTTACTTTATATTTGCCTGGTTAACGAGATTGCAAAATTGCATTCTCTCGTAAGTTAAGGAAAAAAGATTGTACAAATAATATTACGTTTGTGATTGCACAGTTCGCGATTGCAATTTTCATATTATTTACATATTCAAGCCATATAATGTATATAATCATAATACTTAGGGGAACGGAATAAATTATATAAAAATGGAATTATATAAAAATTATATAAAATGAAATATTTTGACCTTGTTAATGAATTAGTTGAGTACTTTTTTCGTGTAACTATATTGCTTCACTATGTTTTATAATACTTTTTTTACACATTTAGTAATTACTTTGCAAGAAGCATCTTAGAATATATTAAAGTAAGACAGAGTGTCTCTTACCCGAGTTCATAATATATAGATATACTCACAAAGTGATTAACTATCTATATATGGCTTAGCTTTATGTTGAAGTAATTCTTAAAAAGGTTCTATGAATTATTTCCGCAAATATTTTCAACAAACATAACAAATAGTTTCTGACTACAAGTACTCCAAATATAAATATTATGTAATATGAGATGATGTGTGATCATTTTCAACCAAGGACGAATGGAATCTTCACAAGTCCATGTCCATAACTTTGTTTTAAGAGATTCTAAGCCGAAAAGCCGTAAGAAATTGACCAATCACAGTCGATTATTTTTCTCATATTCGACTGTGA